TTAAAATATATTTTAAAAAATTATAAAAACTAAACAGCCTACAGTATTTTTACAGGCATCCCTTTAAAATTTGCTACAGTGCTTTTGAGAATCGATACAGTATCAGTACAATACAATATTTCGATATTTCAATGTATCAATATTTTCTTACCCCTGGTTATTTTAGCATAATCTGTCGCATCTCACAGTTGATCGGTGTGGAAATCAAAAAAACTGCTTCCCTCTCCCTCCTGTTTTGTAAACAAAGTAAWGATGAGACAGATTTTTCACAGCCTCCTCAGAATGACAGCTGTGTATCTGCCTCAGTGCATTGCTTCATTTGATTTGCAGTAAATATACACCGATGATCCAGATTTATTGGTATTTCTGTTTCTGTTTAGCTCCTGTTCTGAAAWGCTCTTCGTCTTTTTGTCTGTCGCTTCTCCTCAGGATAAGACCCGAGTAGTTTCGCCCATCATTGATGTGATCAACATGGACAACTTTCAGTACGTGGGAGCTTCAGCCGATCTGAAAGGAGGTAACCCAGACAAACGTTCAAGTCCTGGCAGTGAAAGTGTGTTAATAATAGTTTTAGAAAGCTTCTAAGTGCTTTGAATTACAGTGCRTGTACGCTGTAAACCTTCCAGCTGCAGTGTTTGGCTTCATAAGCAGTTTATTTTCTTACTTCTTTAAAACACATATCTACATGGTTAATTTTGCAGCTTAAAATTCCACACTATATGTTAATATGTAAGTCAGTAAAGTTTATTTATACTGTATAGCACCTTTCATAGATAACACAATGCATTTTACACTAAACACAAGGAACAGACAGCAGAATGCATGTTAGCATCCTATACATATAAAAGGATAGAAAAAATAGAACACACATCATAGACTCTAACAATTGGCTCAAATCCTCTTTTATAAAAGATGTTTTGTTAAAATACATCAGTAGAATATTTTAACATTTTCTCAGCTTTGGATGCATCTAGAGTTGTAAAATCAGTTAAATGAAAACCTGACTTCTGTAATTTATCAGTTTATTAATTTGTCGAGTGTTTAATTTTTTGGATAACAGATGTATCCAGTCAATAAATATAAACTGGATAAAAAATATTTATAAAACCAGACTGCTGTTTAATTACAGTGAGTGGTTCTAATTGGCATCTGTGGGTTTTTTTAAAAGGCTTTGACTGGAATTTGGTCTTTAAATGGGATTATATGACTCTGGAGCAGCGACGAGCCAGACAGGGCAACCCTATCGCCCCCATCAAGTAAGACACGCACRCACACACACACAMACACACAAACACACACACACCAACRTCATGACTTCATCTAAGCATTCACACGTCTGGCTGCCATCTGATCTCTCGTCTCCCCCAGGACTCCGATGATCGCAGGAGGTCTGTTCGTCATGGACAAAGAATACTTCGAGCAGCTGGGGAAGTACGACATGATGATGGACGTGTGGGGAGGAGAAAACCTGGGTGAGGGCTGTAAATCCTCAAAGAATCACTTGACGACTGTTYAATAGGTGTCTGAAAGCTCGAACCTCTTTGTGAGAGAAGAAGACATGAAATCAAATGGACTGATATTGATTCTGATTGAAAAGTTACCTCCAGCAGCAAGTAAAAGGAGAAAATTGACTTTAAATCGTTCATTTTATGCATCTATTGGTTAGCCTAATTGTGCAGCTTTTCTGGCGCACGCATGTGAAGTCCAAATCTGAAGCCAGTTTGTGTTTTATTGAGCAAAACAGAAACRTTCTGCTCTCTAAGAGCTTGTTTTCTCACCAGAATGGTCTTAACTATCATTTTTTTAACCTGCTGTGAATGTGAAAATGAGAAATGTTGTCAATATTATAAAACAGTAGAGTATATAATACTTTTTGACCATCAAACATTAGGTTTTATTTAACTGGAGATATTTAGTCTGCTGTATTTTTGGTCTTAAAATCATTTTTCTTAACTGAATCAAGCCAGCTGTTTTTTTTTTTTTTTTTGCTTATTTCCATTTCTAATTCAAGTTCAAGTTCAAGAATCTTAATTATCCCAGAAAGGCAATTTGTTGCACAGTCAGTAAACATAAAAATGTTCATACCGCACAAAACATTAAAACATTATAACAACCATTTAAAAAATCACCAGTGTTCATGAAAAACTCTGCTTACTGCAGGGATAAATTAGGTTTTTTCGTTTATTATTTCTACATCTGGGCAGCACATTCCTGCTTCCAGACAGAAGCAACCTGAACTCACCGTGGCGTGGGTGATCAGGGTCTTCCAGGGTCGGTCTGGTCTTTTCTCCCTGACCTACTGTAGGTCGGTGAGGTTCAGTAGAGCCATGCCAGCAATTCTTCTGCACGTCCTGACAATCCCTAAGAGTTTTTCATTCTTACATGTTAAAACTTCAAACCAGCCGATGAAGGTAAAAGTTAAGAGACTCAATRRAACACGAATAAAACTTTCTCAGAAAAGTAGAATCAACATTAAAACCACAGAGTTTTTGATTTAAAAATACATCTGATGAGCCTTCTTACAAAGTGAGTTCACATGAGGGTCAAAGGTCAGTTTATCATCCAGAGCCRTTCCCAGATATTTATATYGATGCACCACCTCAACAGCTTCACCTTTAATAACTACGGGAGCGACAACTGAAGAGTTTCTCTGAAATCAGCGACCATATCCCATGTCTTAAACATTGAACTTTTAAAAAGAAAGAGCATTCGGTGAAGTCCCTGACCACCGGCTCGTGGTCAGAGTCATCACTGCTGAGAAGAGACAGGATCATCAGCAAACTTTAAAATGTGACGCTGTGAACACCGGCTGCAATAATCAATTGTATATAAAATAAATAAAAGGGGTGAAAGAATGCAGCCCTGAGRGATGCCTGTAGGGGACAGACAGACATCAGATGTCTATTAAAACTGAAGTGGGTCCAAATGTTTCCTAACTTTAGAAAAAAGGACTTYCCTAACTRTTTCTTCAAATATCTTCATTACCAGTGAAGTAAAGACAAGTTAAATTGCAAGGTTAAAGACCGCTGCACAAGTACTTTCAGTCTTCCCTCATTAATTCTCCGCTCATACTGAACATGTATGTTTCTTAATGCTCTGAACCGTCATAAACAACTAGTCTCTTTTGCTCATGAATTCTGCGTTTTTGCTGCCCACTCATGAAACCTCCACTCTCCTGTGAGACGTGGTCCTGAAGTAGATCTGTTCACGTCCAACGCTGGATCACATCATCTGCGTTTTCATGCCAAGAGCACAACAAACCCAAAAGCCTTCCGTCAATGTTGGATCCGTGCGAGTCTCCCACGGTACAGTGGATTTTAAAAACTCACACAGCGGTGCTGCGATAATGACAAGCCCGGAACATCTGAGTGAAAATACCCGCCGTTTGCACACAATGGAGATTATTCTCTGACTGTGTGCGAYGGCATAATTGCAGCTGTGTCTCCGTTGTTGCTTTTGTCTGAATTCAGCTGGGAAATAAGTGAGAGCAAACAGCCGACGCAGTTATTCACGCTCCTCTCGAGGCGGTCCAATCGACCATTCAGATGCTGGTTTACTCATTCAGTCAATTATCATTCAGACCCAGACGCTGTTAGAAAGCAAACATGATATTATCGACACACTCAGACATTCAGGGGGAGCGAAACCCTGATTTAACTGGGCTGTAAGTCTTCTTACATTTTGTTTTAAATAACAGACATGCTTTAATTTGTTGTTTTTTTGTTTTTTAGAGATCTCATTTCGTGTGTGGCAGTGCGGTGGCAGTCTGGAGATCATCCCCTGCAGCAGAGTGGGACACGTCTTCAGAAAGCAACACCCGTATACGTTTCCCGGCGGCAGTGGGACTGTGTTTGCAAGGTAACACACACACACACAGGTTTGTTTTTATATCCCCATGGGCACCTTGGATTGACTTCCATTCATTTTCTGGTAATTATATAACCTAACCATGACAATTTACCCTAAAATTAACCTCACAGGTACCCTAAAACTAACTTAAACTCAGTTCTCACCTTGGTCCTAAACCTAAACCCCCACCCGAAATTAACATTYGGTCCCCACGAGGCTGCCTTTTTCTGGAAAATGGTTCCCACGATGTAGCAAAAACGTCCCCACACACACACAGGTAACCAAAGTTAAACACAGTCACCAAGCGAGCTACATCTATCATATTCATTCATTTATTGACTCAACTTGAATATTTTCCATGTTTTGTTTTGTCAGAGTTGCCTGTCTCACATTTATTGTTATTTATTGAAACTTTAACAACTTTTGACGTGTAATAAATGGAAAATAGGAGGTGTAAAAACCAGAAGTTTAATAATTTGTTATCTAACAGAGGCAGCCACCCAGCAGTTAGGCTGAGCTTAAGATTTGTGTGATTGAATTGATAAAAATGAATTTACAACACAGAGACTACAGCAGCTTCAACAATAATCAAAACAGAAAAGGCAAACAAGCAGCCTCCTGTTTGGGTATAACATGAATCAAACTTTGGTTTAGTTAAACTTTGAATTCAAAAGTTGTATTATTTCAAATTCCCGCAGATTATTTTTAATTACATCATTTTTTATTTATCTTGCAGCTGTGCCTGACTTTAATTAAAATCCTCAAAAGAGCTTGTAGGTTGAAACATGATTCATATTAAATCATTTTATGAGAAACATACAACTGCATCTATTTTCAGAGTGCTCCTGTTGTAGGATGTTCCCGTTGTTTTTTAATGTATTCTTAAATGTATAAACCCTCTCAGATTTCACTGCAGCTAATTTGCGTCCTGTCCTCTTTAGTGAGGCTGTGGTTTTGTGGCTAACCAAACATCCATAAATATGTTTTACTGAGCCATTACTGCAGGATTGATTAAAAGATAAAACAACTAAATCCAGAAAACCAGTTATCTCCTGTGCCGTTTTTTAAATAAATGTCACATGACATCCAACATAATTACTTTAATTAATGAGTTGAGATGCACAGATATGAATCTGTTCTTCAAGGATGAGTTATTACCTCTGGAAATGAGCCTAAAAAAACGCTCTTCGTCCTTGTTAGAAACAGAGACATAAATCAACAAACGTATCGCAGGGGATCTTTTTGTTTTTGCAGTGATGTGTGTGGAATATTTTTAGAATCTTTTTTTTTTTTTATTCCTTAGGGTTGAATGATGTCAAAATTAGTCCCACGTCACACAAGACAAGATTTTTATTTATTTAGTTTTAAGGAAATCTTTTTAAAC